GGAGGAGGAGGAGGAGGACGAGGAGGAGGAGGAGGAGGAGAAGGAGGAGGAGAAGGAGGACGAGGACAAACAGCAGCGGCAGGATCTGGAGGGGAAAGAGCGGGAGGAGCACGATGACCATGGGAAGACGCCTGAGGCGAAAGGAGGGGGGAGGACAACGATGAGGAAGGACTCGGATCCAGAAAAGTGGCCCACGCTCGTGCAAGAGCGCAAGTCTGAACGACGAGAACAAAACGCCGATCCGAACATGAGGTCCACGCTCCACGCTGCAGCGGGAATACCGTTTTGAACAACCGAAAACAATCGGATGGTACAAAACCATAGAGAAAATTACTTTTGTTCAGTTCTGTGTGTATGTAAGAAATACGCGGAGTGGGCGGCCCATTTTCCGGGTAGAATCAGGGGAGAGAGGAGAGTACCATTCAGAATGTGTATGTGTAGGGTGGGGAGAAGGGGAGAAGGGGAGGAGGAGGAGAAGGAGGAGGAGGACGAGGAGGAGGAGGAGGACCAGCGTAAACCCAAGAGTCATCAACGATGTTGGAGTAAACCATCCCTCCAAGCTCCCTCTTCATAGGCCCCTACAACGGTTCATGCCAATTGATGGAACTGCCTCGTTGGAAGACACCTGTTTGAAGACCCTGCAGCATGCCAAAACATTGTTCTCGGGATTCCAACGCCACGGATCACCCTGACTGCTGCGTCTTGACGATCCTGAATCGTGCCAGAACGCCACTCCCAGGACCAACTCAGAGAACCAACGTAACTGTTGCACCCGCATAATCCTGAATCCTTCCAAAACACAATTTCTGGTACGCTGATTCTGGGAATCCGTGAAACTCTTGCAATTGTTAAAACGAATGTACGCGGCGAACAGGCGAGAGCCGCATTTTGAAAACCATTCGCCCTCAACCCGTGAATCTCTTGCAAATGTTTGATACGAATGTGCGCCGCGCTCAGACGAGAACCACATTTTGAAAACGACCCGCCCTCAATCCGTGATGGTCTTCCAAATGTTTGCAACGAATGTGCGCCGCGCTAAGGCGAGAACTATAGTTTGAAAACGACCCATCCTCAATCCGTGAAGCTCTGGCAATTTTCTAAAAAGAAGGTGCGCCGCGCTAAGGCAAGAGCCACATGTTGAAAACGGCCCGCCCTCCATCTGTGAAGCTGAAATTTCAGAGTTATAATTGGTGAAGAAATCTCAAGCGAAATGCCCGGCCCGCTCTAAAAACTGGCCTCAAGGTGCGACAGGGAGAAGTTATGTATAAGGAGAAGGAATTGAGAAGGAGGAAGAGGCGGAGGAGGAGGACACGACTAGAGGAGGAGGACACGAGTAGTACTCACAAGAGGAGAAGGTGGAGGAGGAGAAGGAGAAGGAGAAGGAGGAGGAGGAGGAGGAGGAGAACGAGGCTTCTCCCGCGATCACAGAGTCTGCGAGTGCCTCGCGTCGACCTGCGTGCCAGGGCAACCTGGCTTGAAACATCAACTGCTGCTAGCAGCGCCAGGGGAAGGCCCTGGCTCCGCTGGAATGCCGATCGCCTCGACAAATGCAAACGCCTCAGGCCGAGGTAGCGCAACCACCTCTCCAGGCAACCGCATGTTTTTTGTTTATAAGGTTGCATGTCACCTAAAAACCTATTCCGAAGCCTCCTCCCAGCACCCAAGAAGGAACAAACAACCCACGGCAAAACTTACGCGAGAACAAAGCCATGGCCATGTCGCCATGCGCTCGCTTGGCACACTTGCGGCACCGCCAAGACCCCTGGGTCCATTCCGAAACATGCCGACTTTCCAAAGGGGGGAGCGGGGTGCACCGAGGACGAGGGCCAGGGACAGGGCGGCATTCTTGGAGCGGCCCGTGGTGTCGTCGAGTGTGCCGATCGTAGCGGCCATTGACCCTACCAGCCCGAGCATAGCGGAGACCTCGGCGGACCTCGTATCCCAGGTGACCGTCAGATGCCGAGGGGCTGGGCACAAACGGGCTCCCTCCTTCGCCTGGAGGTCGGCCGCCTGGTTGCCCAGGTAATCGCACCACTCGAGTTCCTCGAGCAGCTCGGCATTAGACTTTCTGGAATGCGCCTTGACTTTGACCACCTTCACAGACCCCTCCCCCGAATAGGAATCTTCGATCGCATTCCAAATCATGTGCCAGAGGTCGGCGTGAGGCGGGCGTACCTGGCGGCACCAAGCAATGCCGCGGCGACACCCGCGGACCATCGTGGCATTGTCAACACCTGCTCTCAACTGGTCCGATCCGTGGCGCAGGACCTGCAAGAATCCCACGAGTTCCGCTCGCAGGACACTCTGCGCCTGCCTAGCCCCGGGAACTGTGACATGCATGACCTTGCGTACATTGCCATGCTCGTCCAGGAAGCAGAAGGCCCAGCCGAAAGCCTCGAGCCCAGGGACCCCGACCCCAGAGCCGTCCGAGCACGCACGCCCAGACAGCAGAGGGTCACCCCCGAAATCGGGATCGACGGCTTCTGCCGCGGGCGTGGCGTCCAGGAATGGGTCGCTCGACGGGTGCTCCGTGAGGGCCCCGGATAAGAGCGAGGCAGGAGGAGACGTTTTCAGCACGATGGATGATGGCAGGGAGCTCATCGCCAGCAGCCTTACGTTGCTCGTTGGAAGCAACGCACTGACAAAACCTGTGGTGCTGGTTCCCCACCTCGTGCCCACAACGCTGGCAGGTGCGGTCTTCGGACTGCCCCGCTCGCCAAACCTGATCCTGGGTCCAAGAACCTCCTCCCAGGAAAGCCATCATGGCCGCCTGCCGCTGACCTTGCCCATTTTTCTTGGATCGAAGTGCGGCCCGGCAGGGCTCGAGAAAAGGCCTGCGAAACGGCATGCCACGCTGGGAAGCCCAATGCGTGAGCTCCTGATCCTCCAGCCGGAGGTATGCATACTTGTATATGGGACTAGGAGGGACTCGTCTCAGATCAAGGAATTACCCGGTGTGCAAGCACATGTTATGCCAGCTGGGCCACGTCCACCCCAGCCGCTGAAGGGTTAAATAGCAGGCCGAAGCTGGCCCCCGCACCTGGGTCCATGGACGGCCGCGCGTCCGATTTGCATAGCTGCAAATCGGAACATGGCCCTTCGCCACGCGCGGGACATGTCTTCAGCATGGAAGCCGCCTTGCCAGACCTGCGATGACCACATTGCTATAGGCTTCTGCGAGGCCTCGACTGCCGGGTACGCCTGGTGGGTCCAGAGACGCAGCACGCGTCCCTACCAATTGCACTTCCGCCGAGGATGCCCGAGACCTTGACACATGCGCTCTAGGGAAACAGGAAAGACACCCAAACAGCTAGACCCGTAGGTCACGGACGGGATCAAACCTTCGCCACTCGGGCAAGGCGGGCCGCTTGCTTGGAGAGGGTTTTAAATTTTCGGCGGCGCTTCAGTTAATCTACCCCCAACTGGGTACTGGTGGTATTGGCTGCCAAAACCAAGCTCTCCAAGCTCTCGGCCCATCCGGCACATCGCTGTCGAGCCCGAAGCCTGCGCGGCGAGAACGCAGCGTGTGCCGCGATCCCCAGGGCGGAGGACCCGAGAGACTGGGATGCTCCAGGTGCCCGAGACCTGCTGGACATAAACAGTGACGGCAGCACGGAGGATGGCGAGACAAGCGAGCGCGCAACGCACTTGTACATGCTGAGGTCGTCCAAGAAGAGTGTTATTGGTATGCGAGCGCCCCGAAAAACCTGTGCGTGGCATCGGTGACCTGAAATACGACCATCTTCAAAGAGCGCGCGTGCTGCCGATCGAGCCGGCCACGGCAGCTGAAACAGTTTGCACTGTGTGCCGAGAGAGGACGCCCCGAGCGCCACGAGCCTAGTGGATGTATACGTACTGATTATGAACTTGGCTAGCCGGGCGGGGAACTCGCAAAGCGGGGCGACCGTCCACAGCACCGCAATGGTGACATGTTCGAAAGTCCGAGACAAATCCAGGACCCCCGTCGCCGACACCTTCCCCTCCCCGATCCCCTCGTCGTGCACCATTTGGTACCAAACGGCATCCTCGGAGCCCCCGCCAGAGCCCCCGAAATCATAGTCTCGCTTGGCACTGCGCTCCCAGTCATGGAACAGGCCCGATTGAGCACGCTCCACGACTCGCATGAGGGACAGGAGGAGGCCTATCGGACGGGTGCCCCCTGACTCTTTGGACAGGAAGATCAATTATATACCTGACCTGCTCTGGCCACTGGGCCGTGCGAGAAATGAACATGACAAGCTGCATGAAGCAATCCTTGCCAAGGGGGAGAAGGAGAAGGAGGAGGAGGACGAGGAGGAAGAGGAGGAGAAGGAGGAGGAGGATGAGGAGAAGGAGGAGGAGGAGGAGGAGAAGGAGGAGGAGGACTCGACTGGCACTCACAGTGTGTCGTTGTGGAGGGCCAGAGGAGCAGAGAGGCGGAGGAGGACACTTTGCCTCTTGCCGTCGAAGAAGGGAACAGGAGGCGGACGCCGAGAGCATGCCGGAGCCGGCGATCGCAGGAGCCCTCTCGGATGGACTTGCTTGCCCGGCCGTTGCCCCGTCAGATCCCCTTGCACTCTTCTCGTGCAGCGCGGCAGTGGCAATCCACACGCGCGCTCCGGCAAGCTGGGAGACGGCATCGCTGATTGTCTGGCAGCAGGAGCGGGAAAAAGGGGAAGGAGGAAGCAGCCGCGGGGCCAGATCCCCTTGCACAACAAGGGAGGGGGAGGAGGAGGAGGAGGAGGAGGAGGAGGAGGAGGAGGAGGAGGAGGAGGAGGAGGAGGAGGAGGAGGAGGTTGGAGCGTCATAGGGGAGGAGGAGGAGGAGGAGGAGGAGGAGGAGGAGGAGGAGGAGAGGAGGAGGAGGAGGAGGAGGAGGAGGAGGAGGGGGACGAGGAGGAGGAGGAAGAGGAGGAGGGGGACGAGGAGGAGGAGGAGGAGGAGGAAGAAGCTGTGGTAGGGGCACATGGCCGATCCCGGAAGCCGTGAGAACCCCAAACCGTGGACGTCTCGCGCTTTCTTCTGCCACCCTCTGCCCCCGGACCCGCCGGCATCTCCCTCCCGCCAGCCCCCCGCTGGCCTACGTCGAGAGCGAGATGCGCCGACGGCGAGCTGCGCCGAGGGCGAGGCCCTCTCCAGAACTGCCAGCATGGGAGCACCATGCTCCCGCCGGCTTTTGTGTTGCCTGATCTCGGCACCAATCCTCACACCAGCGGGCACGCACTGCGCTCAGGCTGCCTACATTTGATCGCGCGCTCTCCGAGGTCAACCTGCTCCCGCCTGCTGCCCGCCATCGCTCGGACGTCCATTCCCCGTGCATTCTTCGGCTTTTCGCGCGTGTATTTTCTCGCAAGATGGCCCACGAGGCTCCTTGATGGTCCTCGCCGAGGAAAAAGGCACGCGTCCGAGCGGTGCTAGGGCTGTGGCTGGCCACCCCCCTGGCGCGCAGCCAGGACGCGCCCGATGATTAGGCGGTGCGCCCTGTGCACCGCCTCCAGGGAGCCGCTCACCGTGACCTCGGCCTCGAGCCTGTTCGACTCCACCGAAACGCCCGCCCCGCTGGCCCTCTGGATCGCGGCGGCGACAGCCAGCACGCGGCCCACGGCGCCCACTGGGATGGCGAAGGCGATCTCGAGGAAGAAACAGCATCATGGACATAAGCTCTCGGAGCTCCGCGCGGGATTCTTGGCTCTGCGCTGGGCCCCCCCTCCCTGGCGCGCGGAGCGCGCGGCAAGCGCCGCCCCGGGGGGGCCCCAGCGCAGATCCGAGAGATCCGTGCGGAGCTCCGGAGCTGTTTGTGCCCACGCCGCTGCTTGCTCCTCGGCGATCCGCGAGCGGCGCTGGGCGACGGGCTCGGCCGCCCCGCCAGGGGCGGCCTCGCGGGCCCCCTGGCCGAGGTCGGCTGCCGCAGCCGCGGCGCCGGCCGTGGCACGGCTCAGGGCCCTCTCCAGGAGCACGTGGCGCTCCGGGCGAGCAGCTGCCGCCCCCCGCAGCAGCAGCAGCGCCTGCTGCCACTGCCCGCCCCTCCCGCAGGCATCGGCCGCGGCGATGTAGCTGATGACGTCTGGGCCCACCTCCGCCTCCCGCATTTTGCTGAGCAGCGCGAGAGCCCGCTGCCACTGCTCGCCCTTCTCGCACGCGCTGATTCCATAGTTGTAGCTGACGAGGGCTGACCCGCGGCCTCCGTCCACGACGTCTTTCTAGAATGGTTCTCGGAGGAACGTCGCAGATTGCACCGAAAATCTACAAACACGGCGGCGGCTCGGGCGGCGGCAGCGACACCGCGCCTTCGTGTCCGAGCTCTTGCAGCGCTCCAGCAGCTTGGCCCCGGCGCACTGCTCGTCCACCCCCCTCCTATTGAGGGCAGCTTCGAAGTCTCTCGGGGATGTGCGTCGAAGTCGTAGCCCATCTGATGCGTCTCAGGAGCGCCTGGGGAAGGGCTCGGGAGGCCATCGGGGAAAACCACCGAAAGCGCAAGGGAGCGCAAGGATCTACAGGGAGGGCCCAAGAGAGCTTGAAGAAAATTTGAAATTCTGTAAAATCTTAACAGGAACCGCTGTTGGGTCGGCCATCACCTCCGGGCACGCCTTGATGGTGAGATCCAGTCGCATCGCCGCAAACGGGAGGGTTTGTTCGCCAAGTCCTATTCTGCTCGCCCAGGGGGTCTGTGGTCCGAAGAGTGCGGGGAGGTGCCTGGGTCATATCAATTGGCTGCTGTCCCAGGGTTCCGGTCTGGTTGGCCCGAAGAGTTTGCCAAGGCCCCTGGGAAAACAGAATGGCACAGCGTATCGGGCAAAGGGGGGCGGTAGCTGGCCTGTCAGACCCGGCGTTCGTCTCTGCCCAAGCAGCGCGGGGCCCACGGGCCCCAGGGTTGGCGGCCCGCTGGGTTTCCTCTTGTTCGCCCACAGGGTTGGAGGAGGCCTCCAGGCGAACATAATGGGGCAGGACAATGAATGTGGGAGACTTGTCGCAAGCTCCCAGCCCCCCCAAGTGTTCGCCCGAAGGGTGTGGGGCCACGTTGGCTCCCTCAAAGGGCCGTCTTGGAGCCGTCTAGGCCCGTCTTGAGGGCGCCATTTGCCGTGATGGGGCCATCTTGGTTCGTCGTGGGCCCCTCATGGGCGCGTCCGCAGGCCGTCCTGGGCCCATCGGGGTCCTTGTTGGCACTATCTTGGGGCTGTCTTGGAGCCGTCTGGGGCCGTGAGGGGGCCGCCTTCGAGCCGTCTTGGGCCCCTCCTGTGCGCCTCCTTGGGCCGTCCTGGGCCCAGCAGGGGCCGTGTTGGCACCCTCTTGGGGCTGTCTTGGAGCCGTCTTGAGCCGTCGCAGCGCGCCTTAGGTTGTGCTGGGGCCGTCTTGGCCCGTCTTGGGGCCTTCCTGGGTTTCCTCGGACCCTCCTGGGACTTTCTGGGGCCTCTTGGGGCATCGGACCGCCGAAATGGCGGGAAACGCAAAGGCTGTAACAATAAGCAATGGAAAGTAAACGATTTTTGCCAGCTGGGGCTCTCTTGCCATCTTGGCCCGTCTCGAGGCCCCGACTGGGCGCCTCCTTGGGCCGTCCTGGGCCCATCTTTGGCCGTGTTGGCACCCTCCTGGGACCGTCTTGGAGTCGTCTTGGGCCGTCTTGAGCGCGCCTTGGGCCGTGCTGGGCCCGTCTGGGGCCGTGTTGGCACCCTCGTGGAGCCGTCTTGGAGCTGTCTTGGGCCGTCTTCAGCGCGCCTTGGGCCGTGCTGGGGCGGTCTTGGCCCGTCTTGGGGCCCTCCTGGGAGCCTCCTGGGGGCGTTTGGGGTCCTTTTGGGGTGGCCATGAAGTCTTCCAGGGCTGCTTCGAGTGTCCAAAAGCTGAATTGGCGGCAAACGGGAAATCTTTGGACAAAAACCTAGGACAACAAACGATTTTGACATCTTGGGACCCTCTTGTGAGACCTTTTGGAGGCGCCTTGGCGCTCGCTTGGGCCGTGTCGTGCCCATTTGAGGGGCCTCGTGGACGCTCTGTGGGGCTTCCCGGAGCGTGCAGGGACCGCCTGGGGCCCTCATGGCGCCGTGTGAGGCCCTCATGGCGCCATCTGGGGAGCCTCCAAGGGTCCTGGAGCGCCCGAAGGGCTCCCGGCGCGCTCCGGGGCGCTCTGGACCGCTCCCCAAAAGACAAACATGGAAGGGCCCCAGAGCGTTGAAAACAGCTCTTGTGGGCATGCGGTCCGGCCCTCGCCTCTCGTCCGACCCCCCTCTCTTAGTAGAGGCAAGGGGGAAGCCACTTACGGCCTCTTGGGGGCCGTTTGGGGGCCTCTTTCCGGCCTCCCGGGAATCCCTTGGGTCCCTCTTGGGCCGTCTTGAGTGCCTCTTGGGCCGTCTTGGGGCCGTGTGGTGCCTTCGTGGGCGCAGCTCGGACCGTCTTGGGGCCGTCTTGGGCCGTTATTGACCGATCTTGGGGCTGTCTTGGTTGCCTCTTGGGCTGTCTAGGGCGTCTCTGGAGCCGTCGCGGGCCCGCCTCGGGCCGTTTGGGAGCCCTCCTGGGGTGCTCTGCGGCGTCTTGGGGCGATCGGGAAGGCCTGTATAGCCGTCTTGGACGCGGTGAAGACGAAAAGAGCGAGCATATCAAAAACGCACGTTTTCCGAAGGGAAGGGGCCAATTTTTGCCTCTTGGGTCCCTCCTGGGGGTACTCCTGGGCCGCCTTGGGAGCCTCATGGCCTGCCTTGGAGGCCTCTGGGGCTCGGTTGGGTCCCTCTTGGTCTGTCCAGGCGCCCTCGTGGGCGTTTCTGAACCTCGGAGCGGCCCAGGGGCTCGCAGGGCGGCCCGGAGAGCCCAGCGGACATTTCAAGACAGCGGACCTTCTGGCACGCATCATGGCCTTCGGCGAAACCTGATCGGACAAGAACGGGAAGCGCTGCTGTAGTCAAATGGGCGTATTGGGCGAAGAAGAAAAGGAAGGCGAGGACAACGAGGAGTCGATGACGAGGACGACGTGGCGAACGTGAGGATAGCGAGGAGGAGCATGAGGACAACGAGGAGGAAGAGAAGCACAAGGACGAGGACGAACAGAACGAGGGCGAGTACGAGGAGGAATGCGGAGGGCGATGATGACGACGACGACGACGACGACTACAGAGGACAGTACGAGGCAATTGGAGACATACGTTGCTCCTGGCGCCGCGCGGGGTTCTCTTGGGGCCTGTTGGGGGCTTCTTCTTTTTTCTCATATGGGCGGCGAAGGAGTCGTACACGGACGCTTCTGGACTCTCGTGGGGAGCATTTTGGGAGCCTCTTGGAGGCTTCTGTGACCCTCTTGGACTGTCCAGGCGTCTCTCGAGGGCCTGTGGGGGTCTCTTGGGCTGTCTTGGCGTTATCTTGGACTGTCGTGGGGCTCTGGGGGCCTGATTGGGGCCCGTGGGGAGCATTTTGGGAGCCTCTTGGTGACCCTCTTGGACTGTCCAGGCGTCTCTAGAGGGTCTGTGGGGGCTCTCTTGAGCTGTCTTGGCGTCATCTTGGACCGTCTTGGGGCTCTCTTGGCCAGTCCTGGGGCCTCTTCGCGCGCTCGGGGGGGCCTCTGGGTGCCTCTTGGGGGCCTCTTGGGGGTCTCTTGGGCCGTTTTGGGGGTCCTCTGGGGGGCCTTTGGGGGCTCTCTTGGGCCGTTTTGAGGCCCTCCGGGAGCGACTCCAAGATAATGCTGGTTCGGAGTCCCCTCCAGAGCCGATGTTTCGAGGATGTCTCGAGCGAAACGGCAATTTTCCCGGAACCTTTCCTGACATGAACGGGAAGCGCGTGAAAGGGAAGAGTTGCGCAAGAACTTGCAGCGTCATCGCGATCAAATGTGGTACAGGCGAGCTCTCCGAACGCTCACAAGGGATACGTATGGACACGCGCCCCCCGAACGTTCACAAGCATATTCCTGAGTATCCTCACCACTCCTCCGCATGAGGAAGACGACGGCGAAGACGACGACCGGGGAAGAAGGGATAGGAGGAGGAGGAGGAGGCGGAGGAGGAGGGGAAGGAGGAGGAGGAGGAGGAGGAGCAGAAGAAGAGGTGAGGAGGAGGATGGGGGAGGAGGAGAGGAGGAGGAGGAGGAGGACGAGGAAGAGGAGGAACAGGAGCAGGAGGAAAAGGAGGAAGAACAGGAGGATGAGGAGTTGGAGGAGAAAGAAGAGGAAGAGGAAGAGGAGAAGACCGACGAGGAGGAGGACGAGGAGGAGGACGGAGAAGTAGGAAGAAGGCGAGGAGGAGGAGGAAGATGAGGAAGAGGACGAGGAGGAGGAGGAGGAGGAAGAGGAGGAAGAAGAACAGAAGGAGGAGGATGAGGAGGAGGAGGAGGAGGAGGAGAAGGAGAAGGTGAAGGAGGAAAAGGAGGAGGAGGAGGAGGAAGAGGAGGAGGAGTAAGAGATAATTGTGGGAGGATGTCTCGAGCGAAACGCTGATTTTTCAACGAAAATGTGTAAAACACATGGGTTTTTCAATATTTTCGCTTCTTGGGCCATCTTGGGGGTCATCCGAAATCGCTCCGAAAAGATGCCTTGCAAGAGTTCTGTCGGCATCCCATTTTTTGAGGATTCGAGATCCCGATGTTTGGAGGATGTCCCGAGCGAAACGCTCGTTTTCAAAACATTCTGGGGAATCCGCCTGGGGCTGACGGAGGAGCAACCCCGAGCCCTTCCCCCCTCTGCACTCCCCCCAGTTGATAAATATTTCCCTCCGGGTCTGCACCAACTTCCATCGCGCGATTCTTCGAGTCTAAGCGCGCTTCCCGTCATCCGCCAGCGAGGTGCCGCATGGAATCCGTAGCCCTCAATTAGAAAAAATGAAGCCCCAGAACCAACGGTGCACGCCGGAGGCGCTTCCCGTCATCCGCCACCGTGCCTGTGCCTGGGCTCAGGCGTCTGGGGTCCCTCTGGGAGGCAGCTTTGGGGCCTCTTGGGGGCCGTCTTGGGGCCTCGTGGGGCTTGCTTTGGGCTTATTGGGGCCTCTGGGGACCTCTTGGCGTTCCCTTTGGGGGGGTCTTGGGGCCTTGTGTGGGCGTATGGGGGCCCAGGGCTCGGAGTGTCAAGGTTTTTTCTTGTTCTTTGGCCCCCTCTTGGGCCTGGCTTGGGGTCCTCTGGGGCCGTCTTGGGCACCTCTTGGGCCATCTTGGGGCTCCCTGGGCCGTCTGGGGACGCG